GGTCAGAGTTAAACTAAGGCACAATGTAGAGTAGTGATGCTAAAGAGAGGAAAACATGTAGAGGAAGCACTTCTTAATGCAGCACTGCTTTCTTTAAATTCATACAACCTCACGAAATAAATACAACGTTTTTCCTAGCTGGATCCTGCTTAGCAGTGTATGACCTGATTTGTGCTTCTTCTTTTTCCCTACAGACCCTGGGTCTCTCTGTTGCTGCTGCAGGGATGTTTCACAGTGATGGCAGTGAACTGGTCTTGCACTTCGTGTCTCAGTGCAACACGAAGCTGTCTGAGCTGCTGGAGCAGGAACAAAAACTCCTACAGCTGGGCAAAGCAGAGTGAGTATTGGGTATGAAAAGACATCTTCCTTGGCAGACTTTGGGGACTGGATAGACAGAGGCCACCTGGGACAGAGATACTTTAAGTAAAAAATGTAATTTACCCAAATAAAGCCACCTTCCCAGATACAGAGTTGGACCAGAGGCATGAAGGATACATAATACTTTGCATATCTTGCTGAGGCAGGCAAGAAATTGATCTTTCAAGTTCAGAATTGTGTTTAACTTGGATGCTCTTTATTTTTTTTTCTTTACCCAGGAAGAAGCCTACAGATCAATTCCTGAGAGATGCTGTGGAAGCCAGACTGAGAATGCTGATTCCATATATTGAGAAATGGCCCCAGGTATAGAATGAGTATCAAGATTATCTCTTTTTAAGTCTGTATTTTAAACGCCGTGTGGCCTCCCAACATAGCCTCTCCACCAGAGTAGTTCAGGGTTGTAAATGAAACCCTTGCTAGTTTCAGATGATTTGTAGCCTTCAAGAGGAGAGCAACCTTGGAAGGAGGCAGTTAAAGGTGTCCTTAGAAAAATTTTTTCTTGCAGTTCTGAAAAGGCAAACCTCTCCATTGTTCCTTTCACCTATCTGGGTTCTCCAAGGGATAACGTGTGTCGCTGCTCAGTCCTATCTGCAGCGTCACTGTAAGTCAGGCTCCTTGCAGCATTGTTCTGGCTGCACCGGTATCCCCTGGCACCTGGAAATGCAGAACTACTGCTTTGTTACAAGAAACTGCCTGCCTAGAGGGCGAGTGACAAACCCTCAGCAACCTGGGGGATAGATCTGTGAACTGAGAGGGCTCCATGCTTCAAAATTCAGATTGAAGTCTCAAGCCATTCTTCCCAGGGTGGGAAGGGAATTGAATTGTGGCCCCAATAACGAGCAAAGAGTTCCCAACCTTGGGCTGCAAAGATGGCTGCAAAGATTGCTGCAAAGTCAGCTTCTGTTGTCCAGAATCACTGCTGGCCTCTGGGCAGCTGAATCCAGTGCTCCTTGCAGAGAGGGAAGACAGGATTCATGTTTTTGTTCCAGATTAGCATAACTTGTCTTGTGAAGGATGTGGGTGGTCTGTGACTCTCCTGGCATTGCGTTACTACATTCAAAGGCTGCAGGATGCCGTCATGGCTGGATGTTCTGCCCTTGGTAGCTGCTTTGAGTTCAAAGTTAAATTTGGAGAAATGTGAGGTTTGACTCCCTGCCCGTAGGGGCACAGCACAAGTGTGAGTCAGCTCAGCCAGCGCTGTGTGGTGTTTGAGCTGAGGGGGAGCTGTGGGCAGGCTGCGGCCTGAGCTCGGCTGCCACACTATATATTCCCCGCAAATCCTGCTGCTTGGAAAGGCCGGTGCTAGCTGCAAAGAGCTGGGAGGACTTGTCACTGGGAGCTGGAGGCAAGTCAACAGCAACAGGGAAAAGATAACAGAGCAGAGCATTGTTTGTCTGCTTTGATATAATGTCCTTCTCTCTTCAACTTTCCCATTTGGGTGTTCCCTTCGCAGGCTCTGAGCATCCTGTTGCTCCCACATAACATCCCTTCCAGCCTCAACCTGCTCACCAGCATGATCGATGATATATGGCAGTATGCTGGAGACCAGTCCACAGACGTAAGTCTTTGTGCTTTTCAGAGTGGCTGGTTCTACCCCTCAGCATTTCAGTAAAATGATGGGCTGAGGTAGGCGTTGGGCCACGTCTTTCTTGAAATGATCCATTTGTTGAATGAGGAAGACATTTTCAGAAGCACCCGAGGGTCCTTAGAAGCTGCAGTCTAATTTCCAAAGAGATTTAGGAGCCAGTGAGACTAAATGCAAATTAGTGCCAGTGGGATCAGTGCAAACGAAAAGACCTACTGTCCTAGGCTCTTTTAAGTGCTTTTTTTTTTCTTTTTCCTGAAGACAGAGACAAAACTGTTGAGATTTTTCAGACGAAAAAGTTGATCCAGTATTCAGTGAGTGAGCAGCGTGTCTTGAAGCAGCTGCCTCCTCCACCAGCAGCAGCATTTACAGACTTGACTTGAAAACCTTTAAAGAACCCACCTAAAAATACCAGTAGCTTATTAAAGCTTTCATCTTTCTGGCAGGAAATAAAAGAAAATTATAGCCTTAATTAAAGCAATTAATAAATTACTTTAATTCATATAGATACAGGGAGAGACGGAAAAAGTTAAATGAACCATTTTAACAAACTACTCTAAGAAGCTTCTTTTATCTGTGTATAAAAGAGAAGCTACTGCAGTGAAAAATAAATAAGATGGCAGAAAAAATTAAAGGAATAAACCAGAAGAGAACTGAAAGACTGTCATTATGTCAGGAACTGCAAGTCCCTTATGGGTTATGAAAGTCAAATCGATGTGTCAGGGTCGGTGTCAGCACTGAGCTGTTCCTGAAGTTGGAGCAGAAGAATCAACAGAAGGAGTTTGGTCTCAGGCACCTGAGAGATCTAGCTGCAAGTGGCAACATCCCTCACGTTTCTCCCTTCATCAAAGCTTGCAGGTCATGGTGCAGACAGTAGAGCTTTCAGTCCAACTATTTTCAAAATCAAGGGCTGTGTTTTCTTTTTTTCTGTTGCTTTGTAATTGTGAATGGACCAACCAGTATTTTTTCTAGATGATAGCAGCAAATGAAGTTGAAGACTTGCTTTTGAAAATGTTTGTGTACTTTGTCTGCCAGTGGTTCAAGTGCAACCAGAAAAACTGAAAAGTTTATTTGTGCATCTTTGCATTGTGTAACTTACTGTTGCAATGCATTGTACAGCGTTGCTGCCAGCAACATATGGATGCATTAGTGATTCAGCAGGCAGTCCTGGTATTTCAGTGCCGGGATTTGGGAAAGGTGTATCTCTGTGTGATGCCTTACACAGTTCTGTCCTCTGTTCCCTTTCTTCGTGCTTGTATCTGGTGTGAACTGCAGCTCAAGTTTAGTACTAAATATAGCCGTTTTTCATCTAATCAGATCTAGAGTCAGAGCTTTGCATTGCCTGCTAGCAGTCTGTAAAGCGAAGATGAAAAAGATGCAGAGCAAAGTGTGGGCTTGCACAGTGCACACAGGCTGGCTGGGCAAGGGAGAATTCCTTGCTGCTGGCTGCAGGTGCCTGCTTGCGCTCAGAAGCAGGTGGTGGGGATTTTGTTCAGCAGTTTTAGACACCGTGCTTGTGACCTCTGTCTGGTGCCACGGGAGCAGCTGTGCTGTCAGATACCGGTGTTGGCTGTTGGCCCACTGCGTCACAGGGGCGAGTTACACAGTTTAAGTGGGGAAGGAATGTGCGGTCAGTATGCTGTTTTCCTTGTCTTTCTCTGGTCTGCTTTTGTGAGCTGCGTTCTTGCTCTGCATTCATGTCACACCTTTCTCTCTCTCATTTCATGCCCTTGCAGTTTAACTGGTACACTCGTCGGGCTGTGCTCACCGGCATCTACAACACCACCGAACTGGTGATGATGCAGGATTCATCCCCTGACTTCGAAGACACTTGGCGCTTCCTGGAAAACAGAGTAGCTGATGCCATGAACATGAGCGAGACAGCTAATCAGGTACCGTTACAGGCAAGCTCCCCCTCCTCCCCAAATGTATATGCGTAAAGCGTCTGCCCAAATATCTAATGCAGGCAGACCTGGCTTTTCACTCACGCAGACCACACGTCTGCCAAGAGACCACCTTGTACTGGCGGGTGATTGCATAAATGCTGTCGGTTCGACGACAATAAATGCTTGCATATTTTCTAGTAAAATGACATGTAGGCGCCCTCTTTGTCAGACTAGCCTGATGGTTAGGAGATGTATATTCCTAGGAAATCTCTTCTGTGTTCCTTATCGCTGCAGTGCTTGGCTTCTGTCAGCACCTTTCTGCAGCAAATACACGTTTGTTGTGCATTACATCTCTGTGTTTGGGTGGCCACAAGTGTAAGCCTGGAAGAAAGGAAAAGGTGATGCTCCCCTTGTGTCTCCTAGGTACAGTCAACCGGAGAAGCAGTTGTCCAGGGCCTGATGGGCGCTGCAGTTACTGTAAGTAATGCTGAAACCAGCAGGGCTGTAAGGGCAGAATAGTTTCTGTTCCCTTCTGTGCTGAATGTCAGCATGGTTTTCCTCCCAAATCTAGAGGACAGTATAAAAAAGAATTGTCTTTCATAACTTAACTACATGTAAGGATGACTTTCTGGGTGGTTTGGGGTTAGTTCTCTGTTTTGTGGTGAAATAACTTGGAGTGTGAAAAAGTAAGTCTGAAGCTGCTGGGTGAGCTTTAGGGGTGAGAGACAGGCAATCAGAATAAATACAACTGATCTGCATTGCTTGTCACGAGATCTCATCCTCTGCCAGTCCCTGTGCTGGAGATCTTGACGGAAGGTCCCTCCTCCTATGGATGCTGGGGAGGTGGCATCTGTCCCCAGGCCACAGCAGGGTGACTTCCTCGAGCTGTTTCAGTTGACTGCATTGTCCTTCCAAGCATTAATTCACTTAGTAGCTTCCTGGACTGCTTTGTGTCTATCCAGAGGGAGCTGCACTTCCTCCGAGATACAGAACGATCCTTTGTGTACCCAGGGATGATTTTTGAAGGGCTTCAGGGCCTCACTGTGATCCTATTTTTGGACAACCCCCCATTGCATTTAGCAGCGAAGTGATTTCCTTGTTATCAGAAATACATTTTCCTTGTACCAGTAAAAGACAAACAGGCAGGAACATAAATCAGAAATAATTTTTACTGTGTGAAGCAGTTCTCAAGAATTCCTCCCACGTCCTTTCCCCTGCATTTACAGTGGAATCATTTCATACCTTTAGTGTTTCTCAGCCTCTCTCTGCTTTCACACCCGTGTACACCAGAAGGCTTCTCCACCAGAGAAAGCCCCTTGCTCTGTTTGTGCTCTTGTACTTCAGCACAAGGCTCTCCTGCAGTTTGCATCCCTGTGGTTTGGGGCTGAGATCTCTCTCCTTCCTGGATGTTTAGTCTGTCCCTGCAGCAGAGCCGCTGTGCAGATAAACAGGAGAAACCAGACGTCTTCTGAAACGGGGTGGGTTGCAGCCAGCTAGTTTTAGGGTAGAATCATCCCAGTACATTAACTATTTGGGGGAACCAGTCTGGAATCCCACGTCCAAGGGTGCAGCTGCTGCAGGGGTGTGCTGAGCTCCCTGGGTCTCTGCAAAAGGGACGAGCAAGCTCAGTGCCTCAAAGGCTTAAATTCACCGTCGGGCCCTGTGCAGCCGCGGAAATAAAACCTGCTGACCCCGAGAGCGAGTCCGGGCCGGAGGGGTGGCTGAGGCTGGAGCTATGCTCGCCCACCCCTTTTGCATTCAGTTCTGTCCTCGGGCCACTAAACGGCACCGTTCGACCCCCCCCCCCCAGACCCCGGGGGTGCCGGAACTTAACCCCCTTCTCCCTCCTCTGCCCCACAGATCAGGAACCTGGCGGGGCTGAACCAGCGCCGGTGAGGCGGGAGCCGACGGCGCGGGAGGCAGGACGGGCAGCGCCCGCCCTTCCCCGGCACCAATAAAGCCGCACCGCAGCGTGGCCCGGACTCTTTTTGGGGGAGCACCGGGGCGGGAGCGGGGCGGGTCGGTCCTCCGGGGGTGGCGGCGGCGCGGGGGGGCGCGGGGCGGCCATGCCGTACGCCAACCAGCCCACGGTGCGCATCACCGAGCTGACGGACGAGAACGTCAAGTTCATCATCGAGAACACGGACCTGGCGTGAGCACCGGGGCGGGGCGGGGGCGGCCCGGCGGGGTTGGGCGGGCCCGGGGCTCAGCTAGGCCGCGGGGGCGGGCCCAGCCTCCCCGCCGTTGCGTGGGGTGGGGGGGGGGGACACACGGCCGGGCGGCGGGGATTCCCCACCCGTTCCCCCCCCCCCCTCCCCCTGCCGCTTTCCTCGGCCGCGGGGCACCCCCGGTGCGGAGCCGGGCAGGGCCCAGGCCCCGGGGCGCCGCAGCCCCGCCCGCCTGACCTCGGCGCTTCTCTCCCGCAGGGTGGCGAATTCCATCCGGAGGGTGTTCATCGCGGAGGTCCCCATCATAGGTACCCCCTTCCGCTCGCCGTCCCTCGGGCTGCTCTTCCCCCCGACTCTCCCCCCTTCCCCTCCAGTTTCCCCTCCGTCTCCAGGCTGCCTTCCGCTCACCCGTGCTAACCCAGTACGGTGTCTCACCGGGTGCTGTCTCAGCCTCACTGTAATCTCCGTCACGTTTTCTGTGCCCTGCTTGGCTTTCCCCTGCAGAGGTATTTCTCAGTTTGTGACGTTTTCCCCTCTGCAGCCATCGACTGGGTCCAGATAGATGCCAACTCCTCCGTGCTCCATGACGAATTCATCGCGCACAGGCTGGGTGAGTGCCGGGGATGGGGAGGAAGATGAAGATGTGCAGCAAAGCAGAGATCGTGGGTGAAATCAGTCCAGAGACGCTGAAGAACCTTTGTCAGGAGGCTGCTGTTCCTCCACCCACCTCAGCAGGAGGATTGGTGCTCCTGTGGTCTCACTCAGTCATTCCCCCAATTTCCTTCTTCTTCCCACAGGTCTCATCCCGCTCACCAGCGATGACATTGTGGATAAGATGCAATATTCCAGAGTGAGTCAAACAAAATGTTGTGGGTCCCTGTTTTGATGATGGTGGGTGTCTGATCTGATGGGAAGCGCTGCTGATCTCTTGCTGGCAGAGGTCTGATGTAAAGTCTTGACCTGTGTCTGTCCCAGGACTGCACGTGTGACGAGTTCTGTCCGGAGTGCTCTGTGGAGTTCACCCTTGACGTGCGGTGCAACGAAGACCAGACTCGTCACGTCACATCCCGCGATCTCATCTCTAACAACCCCCGGGTCATACCGGTCAGTGCGATCCCTCTGCTTGCCAGCGAGCTCCCCTCTCCGTTCCCACTGAGGTCGGGGTGGCAAACACATGGGGCGTGAACAAAACGAGGCCTTTGAGCACATTTCACGTGGCCTAAAGCCCCACTTAAAATAGAGTGGGAGAGCAAAGCAGTAATATCTGCAGAAACAGCGGTGTGTGCCTGTGCCCTCCTCTTCGTTGCTTTGTTGTCCTTCATCTTCTGTCTGATGGCGGGTCGAAGCAGTATGGCCTTGTTAAAGCCTCATCCTGCACCTCTCATCTCTAACCCTTGGGAGGCTTTAGTGTTGCCCCTCTGTCTCGCCTCGAACACTTGGGGTGTGTGTGCTTGTGGCTCTGGCAAGGTCAGCCTCTCTGAAGGCTTGGCAGCAGCCCAGACGCCTGTGGTTTTCTGGTTCCTGGCTCCCAGCATGGCAAGGTGTGAGGAGTCTGGGCCAGGGCACTGCTGCCAAATGGTTCTTGCTCAGTTGCCCTGGGGAGGGCTGGTGGAGCCAAAGCAGGACAGATGCAAAAGGACTTAACGGAGAGTGTTTTAAAATGCTGTTGAGGCTGCATCTGGATGTCCCCACAACCTGGTGACTGGTGACAGTGTTTGCCTGGTTAAAGCCTAGCTGTAGCCTAGCTGTCTCTTGCCTGCTTCAGCTGGGGTGCTGTGTGTGCTGTGTGTCACCTGCCAGCAGTCATGGGAGTGACTTAGGGCTGCGTGGCAGAACCAAGCAGCTGCACTGGGCCGGGCTGGAGCTCTCTCCATCCTGTGGGGAGAGCAGCTGAGGAGGTGAGCAGGAGATACCGTGTACCTAGTTGCAGCTGCCTGAGTTGTCCCAGTTTCCATTAAATAGGGTGGGCTAGATGTGTTGCTGTAAGTCACTCTAGAGGGGCTCTCAGCAGTCTCTAACTTTTGTAGGCAACTGCTGTTTGGTGAGAGAAAAGCTGATGTTGCCATTAATTCACTTGCTTTTGTTCTGCAGGTAACATCTCGGAGCAGAGACAATGACCCCAATGACTATGTGGAGCAGGATGGTAAGTGGCGTTCCACTGGGAGTAAGAGCTGGAGTAGGAAATGAATTTTTCTTTCAGGCTCTTTGAACTCATTCTTCCTTTACTAGCTGCATAACTGTGAGGCAGCTGTGGAGCTGGCAGTTGACAGACAGCAGTGCTGTTACATCTTAATGCCACTTAAAGGTTACCCCAGAACTAAAGTCAGAGGGTGCTTCCGTGTCACCTTGTGAGAGCTTATAGACAGCAAAGGTGCAAAATGGCCTGCTGTGTGCTGTTGCTTGGGGGTCCATGCAACTCCTTTTTACTTGGTAGCCTGTGTTCTAGCTACCCAGGGGACACAGATGAGCCCCTGGAAGAATCCAGGCAAGTCCTGGCTTCTGGTGGCATCTTCCTGGGCACTGAAAATTCCTGCCTTTGCCTTAACGTGATCTTGCACACTAATTTCTCCTGCAGCCTTCTCAGACGAGCATGTGCTTTTCCACAGACATCCTCATTGTGAAGCTGCGGAAGGGCCAGGAGCTGAGACTGCGCGCCTACGCCAAGAAGGGCTTTGGCAAGGAGCACGCTAAGTGGAACCCCACGGCAGGCGTAGCCTTCGAGTACGACCCAGACAATGCGCTGAGGCACACCGTGTACCCCAAACCGGAGGAGTGGTAAGCCCTAATGTCTGTTGGGGGGGTGGGGTCAGAAAAGATTTACCAGCAGGCACCTACATTTCAGCCCTAGGGATAATTTGGGTCAGTAAGTGATGGTGAGTGTGCCTGTCGTTTGCCTTTGCACAGGCTCTGCTCCCGTGTTAGGGAACCAAAACCAGTCACTTGGTTGCAGCTGCAGACAAGGCAGACTGGTTTGTGGCCACCTCTTGTCCTTTTCTCACTGCTGTTTTACCTCGCTTTCATGTTCTTTCCCACAACTTGTTCCTGTTTTTTCTTCCCTGCACAAGTGTTATGTAGGTCAGGGTAAGGTCTGAGAAAAGAATTGATCCACAAGAGGTGGAAGAGGTTGCTCTGCGAGCACAGAGCAGAAGGTTAGGTTGCAAGGCTGATTTTGCAGCCCTGTTTGTTTGAGGGAGCCCAGTGTGTGGCTCTGATTTCACCCATACATCTCACTTCTGGAGCGTGGGCTCTGGCAGCAGGGTTTTCCTCTCTGGCCCTTGACTCTGACATACCGTTCTGCACTGGTAGCATGCTGCATCTTGTCTAAAAGTGACATGATTTTGCTTTTGGAAAGCTACTGCCCTGCTTTGGCCAGGGCGAGGACTTCACCTAGCAGCACTTTTGTGTGAGTAGATACCTGAGCTGCTTCTGGCTCTGAGTCCCAGTGACCACCTCGCAGACATCCTGTCATCCAGCGTGCTGGAGCCAGCAGCAGAGCAAGGAGCCAGGTGCTTTAGCCAAGGCAGGCTGAGAGCAGGGACTGGAGGGGGCAGTGGATATGCTGCTGTGACAGCAGGGCAGCAGCCAGAGCTGCGCTCAAGGTCGGGAAGACCTCGGTGCAGGAGCAGGATTTGGTGCAGGGACCACAGAAACCCGGGCTGAGCGAGTGGGAACGGAAGCCTGAGCAGAGCTGCAGCTGGAGAAGAGGCTGAGCAGCAGAAGGGGCTCATCAGGTTTTCCTCCTTTCACCACTAGGCCCTGCGCTGACAGATTTGACTCTGCAAATGCCTGCAAGAACTAGCAGGCAGGTAGTGGACTATTGTACCTCCACACTGCGCTCCAAGCCTGGGTGCTCGGACCTATCGCAGAGCGTGGCCTTACGCTATCCCTTGAGAAGTTAGCTGTGAGTAAACGAGCTTCCCGGAGGTGCAGTTACCCTAGATTTCACACCTCAGCCAGACAGCCAGGGGCTCTCTGCTCAGGAGCTGTCACGGAGATCCTGTGCGGCTGGGTTTGCACTCAGACTTGAGCAGCCTTTTGTCGCCGAGGGTGGAGATGCAGGTGAACCCATAACAGGCACGAAACGGGCTGGGATCTGCCTGCAGCCATCCCAGCCCTGTTTTACAGAGGGAAGGAGCGAACCCCACTTGGCTTTGATGGGCTCTGTAGGGCGCGTTCGTGGGTCCAGTTCAGTAAGTCTGGGCGAGAACGGGACGTACCAGGCGTTTGGCTCCTTCAGCACTTGGTCAGGGCGGTGCTCTGGGATCTGCAGTAGGAACCAGGCTGGCTGGTAGTGCTGGAAATGTGGAAATGGGCATTTTCCTTTGTGTTGATGATACCTACATGTGGACCGAAGCTGGATTTTGGGAACTGCCAGCTACAGACCCGGCTGACAGGGGGGAAAGTCTACGAGAAGCCGGTTGTGGTGAGGTGGTGCAGGGCTGAGCAGGAGGCTGCTCAGCAGTCTTGTGGTCAGGAGCACGTCACAAGAGTTGATGTGCCAGCCTATGCTTTGTCACCAGCAGTTTTGGGGATGGAACTGGATAGTTTGGAAGTTTCCAAATTATTTGGAAGGTCAGTCTCCCTAAGGTTTAAACGATTGTCTGAGTGATAGATTGCATACTTGAGAAGAAAGAATGTCTCTGTGATGTGGAATTTCAAATCAGGATTTGGAATAATTTTAGGCTTTGTTTTGGTGCTGTGAAAATTCCCTGGTTTAACTTCTGTAATGCTAGATAGTAAGTCTTTGACACTGATGAAGTTTTCCTTCTTTTTGGATGGGGAGTGTCACAGTGTGACTTTTGGAGAGTGTGGGCTTTTGGAGGTGTCTTTGTCATGGAGAACAGCCCCAGCTGCGTGGCTGAGCACGTGTACCTCAGCCACGAGCTGCCTCCCTGCCTGGGTGGCCCAAGGCAGCTGCTAATGGGGTTTCTTTTGTTCAGTGGCGAAGTCAGCTGCGTCTTCAGGAATCTTATGTGTTATACAACAGGCTGGGTACCTGGAAACAGTTTTTGAGAAGTTCTTGACAAAATACGTGTAAAAGTTGGAAAAATCCCAAAGGAAGATTGACACCGGAGCTGCCTGTTCCCTGATGATACATCTGTCTTTCCAAGTTCATCTGATTCACTGTGAAAATAATGCAGAGACAAAGGCCTCTGCTATCCAAGGCTAGCTATTATTTTTGGTTTGTTTTTTCATGCTAGTTGCTTTTTGAGGCTGTTGGCAGAGCACTGGCATGCAGCTGGACTCTCAAAACAGCTGGTGTGGTGGTGGAAACCTCTGCCCTGTTTTCAGTCATGGGTGGTTCTGCAAGTAACACGAAGACTCAGCGCCATTAACACTATCTCTCTCAGTGGTGTGTTACAGACAGGATTTGTTTGAGGAGTGCAGTTTTATTTAAGGCAGCTGATGAGGGGGTGCTTGATCAGCCCTTGCTGGCGTCGCTGGGGCAGAGGAAGGCCAGCAGGAGACCTTGGTGGGCACCAGTCTGTGCTGGCTTCTTAGACAGCTCAAGGCTTTGGGTTCTTACATGGATTAAGTGCTTCCAAACAGTCTCTCCAGTGTGATGCTTTCTAAGCCAAGGGATACAATGGGTAGAAAGACATGTTGGCCTAGCTGATGTGTGGGTGTTGCAGTGATTTTGGTAGTGACGTGTAGAGGAGTGGATGTGCAGGACATCAAGACAGGGCTCACTGATGCAGCTGGTGTCTGAAGTACAGGAGATTTTTTTTTTTTTTTTTTTTTTTCCCCTGCTGGGCGCAAGCTGACCAGGCCTTCCCATCTCAGCTGTGCTGCACAGACAGTGCTGGAGTGCTCCGGTGTTTTTCTGACAGTGAAAAAAAAAAAAAAAAACCAAAACCAAAAAACCCCAACATAACGTAAGGTCCGTTACTTCATAAACAGCATCCAGGCTCCATAAACACCATCGCTTTAGGCAGCAGCAGCCCTTGGCTGTAAGCACCTGCCAGATTGGGCCAGAGTAGGTGGATGGAGCCGTAGTACCCCACATGGGGCTCGCTGAGTTTGTGCAGAGCAGGGCTGATCTTCTTCCTCCAGCACTGCTGGGTGACAGTGTGGCATTAATGAGGAGCTAGAAAGGGCAACGTGGGACTGAGCTTTTTTCCTGTGACTCGATGGTTGATGACTGCTCCTTCGCCTGCTGGACGTGAGCCCCAGTGCTCGCTCGCTGGGGCCGCAGAGCACCTGGGCACCGTGGGGCTAGGCTGGAGTGTGGGCTCAGGGCTAACCTTTCCTGCTCTTTGATTCCAGGCCCAAGAGTGAGTACTCGGAGATCGACGAGGAGGATGCTCAGGCTCCCTACGACCCCAATGGGAAGCCAGAGAGGTAAGAAACTGAATGTGCTGCTGCAGCTGGAAAATGGGGTGACCGGCTGGGTATATCTCTCGTTAATACAAGAGTATCTACTCTGTGCTGAAGTTTGCCAGGCTGGGGAGCTGGTGTTCCCTGAAAAGCAGGGCAGAAGTTGGTGATGTGCCCAGGCCTGGCAGGTTTTCCCTTCTGGGAGATACCAGCCAGCTCTCCCGAGTTTGTGTTATCAAGTAGGGCAGCACAGCACTGGTGAAAAGTGAGGCCTGTGGGGGAAAATGGCTTAGGGTATTTATTCACCGGTGTGGGGGTTTCACGGTCTGACTGCCAGCGGTACAGCCTCTCCCGGGTTGTTTGCACTGCAGGAGTGCCTGCAGCCAGCCTTATTCCCTGGCGCGGGGCCCTGGGCTGGCTCACAGTGCTGAATGGAGAAAACCTTGCGAGTGCTCTCGCAGCCTGTGGAGCCACGAGTGTTGGTGTGACGGTTGCAGAGGAGCAGCGCTGGCTGTTGCCTGGTTGGGTGGTGGATGATGCTGATGGTTGGGATTTCCAGCAGATCTCCCTGCAGTGCATCAGGACGGACTGGAACTGCTCTGCGGGCGCTCTCTGGTTTCGCCCCTCCTCACAGGGCAGATGGTGTCTTATCCCCCTGACTTGTAACCTCAGGTTTTATTACAACGTGGAGTCCTGCGGTTCTCTGCGCCCGGAGACCATCGTTCTCTCTGCCCTGTCTGGCCTGAAGAAGAAACTGAGCGACCTCCAGACCCAGCTGAGCCACGAGATTCAGAGTGATGTCCTCACAATAAACTGAGGTGGCCCCTTGCAAGGGCGTGCTCAGGCGTGAGTGATGCAGAAGGTTCCTGCCTTTGCCTGGCAGCGCTTTGGGCTGAGGCTTTTGCCTCCCCATCTCCCTCTGCCTTTCCTGGCCCAGCTCTGCTGGTCGGTGACACCTCTTCCCTGGCTCTCCTTCCCAGGGAGGGCCATTGTGATGTGCAGGGTAAAGCAGAAAGGGAATTGGTGAGCATCTTCACTGGGACAGGCTTTGTCTCTAAGTGATCCCAGAGTTTTAGGCCAGAATTTTGGATTCTGGCCATGCGGTGTTTGGGTTTGGGAAGTGTGTACCGTGGTTACACAACCCTACCTTTATTTGCATGTCCATATCTTACTGTGCTGAATAAAGTCTTACCCCGCCATGTTCTGTCATCCCTGAAAGCTCGTCTGGGGCTGCAGGAGGAGATGGCACGTCATTTACTTCTCTCCCATAGGCATTAATGTAATGAGATCTGCTTTGGAGGGAGCATTGCTCTCTACTGCTGATTGCTGCTCTTGACATTGTCTCCTAAGGAGACCAGAATCCCTTCCAGCAGGTAGCCTGTCATTTTCTGATCCAGAGTTACATTCAAAGCAGATGTTTGAGGCTGAGCTGGTAACCGATGCTGCAGAAGGCTGCAGGGGAGCCCATATGGGCCAGGCAGCTTTAGCTGTATTTAAAGACTCCTTTGGAGCAGACTCTACCCCTGTGCTATATAATCTTTATGTTAGGAGCTGGGGTGGGCAGGCAACCTGTCCTTTATAACCCCTAGCTGACAGCTTCCAGTGTGCCCCCAGCACCAGGGTGGGCTGTGTGCTGGGCTGGAGCCTGGTGACCACCACGGCAGCAGTTGAAGGGTTCCAGCCATTGCCTGGGCCACTCCTCCTCCCCCCTGTCAGCGCCCAGCGGGACTCGTGATAAGCTGCTGGGTGACACTTCCCTGGAGACATCTGCCTCTTCCTTGCCGTGGTGGCTGGGAGGGAGGGGAAGGCGTGTGTGCCCCTGCGCTTGTCCCGGCGTGGACGTGGGGCGTGGGAAGGGCTCGGGGAGCGGGGCCGGGGCGAGCAGCCTGAGTCAGTGCTGCCTTCCCCTCCGGGGAAGAGCGGCTGCAAGCCAGGCTGCTGCTTCCACATCCCTGCTGGGGCACGGCCAGCCGTGGCACGGCTCCCTGGGACCTGTGTGTCCCCCCCCTCCCCATCCCCGGAGGGAGCGCTGCCCCGGCTGGCAGCGTGGCTGCCCCGCCTTGAGGCCGGCGAACCCCCACAATTCTGGCAGAGCTGGAAGAGGGAAACGCTTGAAACCCCTTTGTCCAGGAACTGGAAGCCACCACTGCCCTGGCACATCCCCGGAGCTGGGGGTGAGGGCTGGCACCTCGCTGCCACCAGCCTTTTTCACTTGGGGGTTGTTTGATGGTGGGTGGCGACTCACTCCACCTTTCTCCCCTCCCCAGCGGTTTTAGGGCTTCACTTGAAACATCCTGGCCGTGGCTGGAGGCAGAACAAAGCTTTGAGCCAAGCACGCTCCTGGGAGCGTTAGGAAATCTTCCCCCCATCAGCATTTTTCTCTCTGGCAGGCGCTACTCCCACTTGCACTTCCCGAGCGCGTTTGGATGGAACAGACAAACAGGAAGGGTGGATAAGGGTTGTTTATTCATTGAGCAACTCCTTAAAAAAAAAGAAAACCCAAACATTTTTGGTAATAAACCTTTTCCAGATGAGGTGTTTAGCCAGGAAAAGAGAGCGAGTTACACCTCACCCGGGGAAGGACGCGGTGCTGGGGTGCTATTGAATCCCTCCGTGCCCAGCCGTGGTGCGGGGAGCAGCCCTCCTCCGCCCTGCCGTCCCCCCAGCCTCAGCCACAAGCTACACCAACCCAAGACAGAGTATTTACAGACCACAGGTTCCCACATCACGACACTCCCCGTCCCCAAAGCCCAGGCCCGGAGCTTTAAGAGCAGAAATAAAACCACCAACCACCCAACTCAGACTGAAAGAAGACTCCAAAGAAACACCAAGGTTTGCACGGCAATAAAAAGATAGCCCTTCTAAAGGAGGTCAATAAATTGAATTAGAAAAAATCAATTGCTTTTGAGTTCGGCACGTGAAGCCCAGCTCCCCCCGGGCAAGGGCTCGCGCCCGGCCGCACGGGTGGGCGAGGAGGGAGCGGGGACGACGGGACTGCATGGAGAGATGCGGCGCTGCACCCATCGGCGTGGGCTTCTCTGCCCAGGGACTTCTTAGATCTGCAAAGCTGCCCCTCGAGGGACAGATGCTACTGGCCCAAACTGGTCCCTGGGTTGCCCACCAGCAGATAGACCAAGGGCACAGACGGGGGGGAGTGGCTGCGGGTGGAGGAGTGAGAGGTGTTGGGGTGCCCAGGAAAGCCGGGGGGGCTCAGCTCTGCCCAGCCGCTCGCCCCCCCCCCCGGAAGGAAAACCAGTTTCTCCTGAGACAGCTCAGTTCTACAGCGAGTGTTTCAATAGCTTCAAGAAGTGCAAAAATCAGCTCAGGGGGAGGGCGGGGCCTCTCCAGGAGCACCCCGCTCTTCACGGCGAGGGGGGGGTGAGATGCTGGGACCTTGCACCTTCAGCCGGGCACAGCCGCATCCTCCAGCGCTGTTCCACCCCCGCGGCAGGGGTTGCTCCGGCCTACATCCTCCCTCACAGAAAACACACTGAATTTCTTGACACATACCCCACACACCCCCCCCCCTCTTCTCCACCTCCCAGCTAGAACCCCAAGAGTCAAAAAACCTCGGAGCGTCTCTGCCCGAGGGCTATTCGGCAGTCATGAACTTTGCATTTGTGTGAGAAGGGAAAAATCTCTTATAATACGTCTATTCAATATATATTTCAAGTCAGTCGAGTCTGAGCCAGCCGTTACCTCCGCTGATGTCAGGGCGCGAGCCAGCGCCTGCTCCCCCGAGGTCTCGGCACGGGGGATGCCCCGGCTCGGTCTCCCTGGGGACTCGGAGGGCTGGCTGCCTGCATCCTTGCCACCCCTCAGGGAAGAAAAAGGGGACACCCCCCCCCCGCCATGGTTGTCCCCCCTTGGCCAGCTCACGGGGACGATGTGGGCTCCCTGCTTTCAGGCTTGTCGCTCCTGGAGGACTTTGGCTTCAGCAAGATGAACCTGTTGAGGAGGTCGGTGTCGGAGCTGGCCTGGGCGCCCACGTACGCCTCCCCTGGGGACGAAGCAGAAGGTGGGCTAGCGTTGGGATGGGGGGGGGGACACACACACCCCGGGGGCCACAGGAGCAGCAGCTCCTCGATGGGGGACAGGGCCACTCACCGGCGTAGCTGGAGGACTCGGCCATGTTCTGGGAGCCCGTGATGTGGTGCCAGTAGGCGCTGCGGGGCAGCATGGTGGTGGGGGTGCAGGGGTAGGAGAAGTGCTCTGTGCCCTTGTTCAGCAGCTGCGGTGGATGAGAGGGGGGGTGAGGGTGACGCAGGGACCCCCCGAGCAACCCCCTCCCCAGCGGGGGGCTGGAGCTCACCCTGACGTTCTTCTCCATCTCCAGCAGGACCCTCTTGTGCTGCTCGGCAATGGCCAACGTGGCACTGTGCACGCGCTGGTAGATCTGCTCGCCCTCCTGCGTCTGGAAGGTGTAGAGACCTTCCCCCGCATCGCACATCCTGCGGGGACGGGGCACGGGGTCTCACCGGGGTCCCCAAGCCAAGGGATGAGTAAAAACACCCCCCCACCCCCACCCCCCCCCACGTGGCAGCTGGCCCAGCTTCCCACGCTTTAAGCGCAGCCCCCGTGTCCCCTCCACGGTGCTGAGCTGGGAACAGCACCAGCTCCAAACCTCTCTAAGCATGGGGCACCCTATGGCCATCACCCCAGTGTCAGGTCTGCCCGGGGGGGGGGGGGTGGGGTGGCTTTGATGACACCTCCTGGTGCACCCAGCGGGGTGAAGGTGGTCCCCACCCCCGGTGAGGGTGACATCTCACCGTCCGGCCTCGAAGGTGAAGCGGGTGGCATCACGCCCGTAGCGGCGCAGGGAGCAGAGGGGCCAAGAGACCAGCTTCACCCGGGGGTTGTGCGTGTCCCAGAGGTAGATGTTTTCGTGGGTGATCTGCAGCTTGCACTCGCCGTAAACGTCCAGGTTGGGGCAGGGGAGGAGGAACACGTTGAACCGGTCTGCGGAGGAGAAATAAAAAAATAAAATAATTGGGGGGGGGGGGGGGGGAAGGGAAGGGCCTAGCGGGGCCGCTCCCCAAGCGAGCACCCCGCCGTCGCGCGCTCACCCGTCTGCTCGCATTGCACGCCGGGTGCCAGCAGGTCGGGCTCCCCCAGGCTGATGTCGTTCAGGCGGGCGCCCAGGCACTCCACCGACAGTGTCTTGTACCACTCCTCCGCCTCCAGCTCTGCAAGGCACCACGGCAGCCCCTGGGCGACCCTGGCCGAGCTGGGGTGCCCTGTTTGGCACACCCCCCCCCCCCAAAGCCCAGCACCCCTGGGTGCCACCCCATACCCGAATCACAGGTGAAGGTCCGGGCGGAGTCGTCAGTGAAGACGATGGCCACGGCCTGTCTCTTGGTCTCCTTGGGCAGCCGGGTGATGCACTTGACATTGCTGATCTCGGTGACCTGCGGAGGAGGTGTGTGTGTGCGGGGGGGGGGGTGTCTCCGAGGGGGGGTGCACCCAGACCCCAGCTGCTGCACCCAGATCCAGCTGCATCCCACCGGAGTGCTCGGGGCAACAGCCACCCAGGTCCAGCCCAGGACCCCGCTCCAGCCCGGGGCCCCGGGCAGCCCCCCAGCACCCCTCCATCGCACCCCCTCACCTTGGGGCACCCTCGCAGGCACGCCGACTTCTCATCCGGGTACTTCTCCAGGCGCTGAGGCCCTTTGCTGGAGGATTTCCGAAAGACCAGCCAGCACCGCCGGTAGATCTGCCGGACAGAGCGCGCCGGGGGCTGCTGCGGTGCAAGTGGGGGGTCCCCGTCCACCCCCCATCCTCATGTCCCCATCCCCTCCCCTGGGACCCCTGCCCGGTCCTGCTGACCCTGCCGGCTTGGAGACAGGAGGGGACGCTGAGGACGGGGATATCCAGGGGCTGCCATCACCCTCCTCCCTCCCCCTCCATCAACACTAATTACAGAGCTTAATTAATGAACATGGGCAAGGCTCCCAAGGGGACCCCCATCCCGGTGTCTCCCCGGCCCCTCTCCCACAGCCCCTGCCTCTGAATGTGGCGGGGCCATCGTCCCCAAGCATGTCCCCCCCCCCCCCTTAAGCCCGCTCCCTCTTTGTTCTCCCTAATTAGCGTGAAATTACCCAGCATGCTCCTTGCTGCCGGCTCCAAGCGATGGAGACGGGCGACCAAACCCCCTGACCCCCCAACTATGGGTGCTGCACCCCAGCACCCCGCTAATTTGTACCCAGCAGCCCCCTCATGGGCGTGGGGCATCCCGGGTGCCAGAACTGGGTGTGGAGGGAAACTGAGGCACGGGGGAGGAGGGCTCAGGGACACCCCCCAGACCCCCGCGGTGACCCGTGTCCGGTTAGGGGGTGCCACCCGGGGCAGGATCGGGCCCCCCCGGGGCTGCTGGATGAATTGGGTACCAACAAGTGGCCCGCCCCCACCCCGCCCCCGCCACCACAGCTCCCAAAATGCCGCTTATTCAACCCAAAACCAGGGGTTCTGGTTGCCGCGAGAGGTCCCCCGGCCCCCCAGCCGGTCCCCCAGCCACGTCGCCTCTCGTGGCATCCAGCGTCCCAAATCTACAGGTGCCCCCCTACACCCCCCCTTCTCATTCCCTGAGACCCCCGCTCACCCCTAGCTTCTTGCTCTTCATCCTCACATAGCCTTGCTTGATGATGTCGTTAAAATTCGTCGCCATGGCGATGGCCCGATGGGGTGGGGGCTATTTTGGGAGGGGGGGGGCTGCCTTCACCTTTGCCCCCCCCTCTCCATCCTCTTCCTCTGCACCCCCCCTGCCTCAGCGCTGGCCCAGCCTGGTTCTAGCGGCGTCCCCCATCCTGGCTGGAAAAGAGAAATGACAGATCTACGGGTGACATCTTCCTCCTCTTCCTCCTCCTCTTCCTCCTCCCTTCGCTGCCTGAACCATCCGAGTGGAACAGTCCGGCATTAACCCCTGCCAGCGCGGCAGTGCCAGGCCGGCACATGAGTGGTGTCCCCCCCCCCCCCACCCCCAACACGTGTCCCAGGGGACACCCACACTGGACGTCGCCCACAGGTCTCCATCACCCCTCACACCGTCCCTCCTTCCTCCCAGGCTGCTCGCTTGAGCAGCAACATGGCCCCGGCCACTGGCCATCAGTAGGGTTCAGTGTTAACAACGTTCTGCCTGGCCAGGCCAGCTCTGCCATGGGGTGTTTCAGCCCTGGCACCAGGTGCCAAAGAGACCCCAGTTCCAAACCCCACACCCCTCCCTTCCCCCCCCGGTGTGACCCAGCCTCCCTCCAGCCCCACCGTGAGCTTGGCCTCACTCAGCCTGGTCCCCGCCTGGGGTGGGGGGACACACACACTAGGAGACCCCCAGCCCGGGGACCAGCCAGGGACCAGGTTCCTTTCCCAGCTGGAAAAATCCCCTAAAGAAGGCAGTAACCTAGGAAACGGGACGGGGCCATCCCCAGGGATGCTCGGGAGCCCGACTGCTCCGTGCTGGTGACGCCCTGGTCCCCAAAGCCCCAGCGACTGGGGGGCTCCAGCCCCATCCATCCCCCCCCCCCCCCCCCCCGGGACACCCCAGAGGGGCCATCCTGCTGCCACCGCACCCCGGCGTCCCTCTCCAGCCACCCCAACCACCGCCACGGCCTGTCCTGGTGCCACCGGGATGCCCTGTGTGTCCCCCGCACCTCCAAGTACCAGCCCGGCCTCGCTGCCTGGGACCCCCCCCCCCTCTCCCCGGTCCTGCGGCACCGGGCTCTGCTCTGGGGCAGCCCGTGGCCCTTTGGAATGGGGGCGTGGGGGGGCCGGGAGTGGGGGCAGCGCCCTAAGGACCCTCCACTCTCCCAAGAGGGACTGGGACCAGCGCTTGCCTCTGAGGGGAACATCCCCTCCATCACCCCCAGCCCACGCACATCAGCACCCCCAGAGAATTCAGAGATGCTGGGGAGGCACCTCCGCCCCCCTCCCCCGCCCCCCCCCCCCCCCCCCACCCCGTTCTGTCACCCCTAAACCCGGACACCCCCGACTCCTCCATCACCCCCGGGGCTCCACCGTCCACCGCTCCCGCCGACATCGTCCCTCCCCGCGCTGTCGCCCCCCGGCCGAGCCCCCCCGACACTTGTCACCCCGAACCGAGGCCGAACCCCGTCCTGTCTCACACCCCCCGCCCCCTCCGCGCAACCTGCCCCCCGCTGTGTCCTTCCTAATCGCCACCCCCCCCCCCCCCCCCCCGTGTCTTACCGGGCCCCCCTCGCTGCAGCCGGCGGCCCCGGTGTCCGGCTCCGCGTCGCTGCCAGCCCCGGAGCCGCGCCCGCCCCGGCCACGCCCCTCCAGGCCACGCCCCTCCAGGCCCCGCCCCCCGGTGCCGGTACCCCCCCCCCCACCCTCCCGGGTTGCCTCCTCCGTCCCTCCGGGCCCAGCCTCGCCCAGCCCAGCCCAGCCAGAGCCACAACCGGCCGCCCTGGCAAGAGGTTTCCTGCATGCACATCATTAGGCTTCAGAGTGAACACCCCGCGGCAACTGTCAGGTGGCGGCAGCCTCTCGCCAAGCTGCTGTCCCGGGGTGTCCCTAAGCTCAGGCAGACGTCTTCTCATCCTCGTCTCCCCTTCTGTGTCCCCCCCAACTCTTCTTTTCATGACCCCCACTGAAATGGCCTGCAGGCACCTCCACCCCTGCAGTCTCATTTGTTGGGCCATAAAAAAAATGAATAATCGCTGGAAATAAAAGGGCATTAAAAAAAAAAAAACGTGAGCAGCAAAGAGCTGTGCTTTTAGCCAATCAATTAAAACGCAGAGCAAGGGGATTAGCTCACTGAAATATTAATTTTTAATAAGGTTGTGTCTGAGTTCCTTCAAAGCCCCCCTTGGCCCCGCTCGGGGGGGGCTGGGCTGGGGCAGTCAGCACCCTGAGGTGAGCACCCCTGCACCCACGGGTGGGCACCCCTGCACCTCCCCAGGGTGAGCACCCCTGCACCCACGGGTGAGCACCCCTGCACCTCCCCAGGGTGAGCACCCCTGCACCCACGGGTGAGCACCCCTGCACCTCCCCAGGGTGAGCACCCCTGCACCCACGGGTGAGCACCCCTGCACCTCCCCAGGGTGAGCACCCCTGCACCCACGGGTGAGCACCCCTGCACCCATGGGTGAGCACCCCTGCACCTCCCCAGGGTGAGCACCCCTGCACCCACGGGTGAGCACCCCTGCACCTCCCCAGGGTGAGCACCCCTGCACCCACGGGTGCAGCCCAGCAGGCGCAGGCACCTCTACGGCCGCGAGTGTTTCCAGGGGCCCCGCAGCCCCCTTCTCGCTCCACAGGCCCGGGGAGGAGCTTTACTCACAAGCTGGACTCGTCCCCAGGCGCGGGGGCAGCGATGGCAGCGGGGTGACGCCAGCAGCCGCGCACCCAGCCCCTGTGTATGGCTTGTGGAGAAATGTCATTTCTCCCCGATGTTGTCCCCTCCCATCCCCTCCATCCTCCCGTGAGCAGCAGCCCAAGCCACCACCCGAGTCTGGGCCCCTCTGGGCTCTGTATTTATAGTTCATAATAAAAACAAAAATCATATACAAATACATACATATATATAATATATATATAAAAACGTGGGCAGGAGCATGGCTGGCTGCAGGCCCTGCTGCCCCTCTCTGCCCTGCACTTCCCCCTCCTGGGCTGCTCAGCAATGCCGGCTTTGGTGCCGTATCTGTGTCCCAGGAGGTGCCGGTGGCTGAGGGGCATCAGATACTGTCCGAGAGGCAGCGGGCTCGGAGCATCCCTGCTCAAATTCCATCCTGTTGCTCCGTGCCTCAGTTTCCCCATCTATACAAGGGTCACTGCATGGCTGGGCCCTGCGGCGATAGGCACTTGTGGGTAGAGGACCGCCACGGGACGTCCCCGCGGCGGTGGCACGTGGCCCTGGGCACTAGGGCACCTGGATCTGCAGGTCCTCGTCCTCGTCAGGGTCGCTGGTGCCGTCCCCGGCGTCATCGGGGCCGAAGCGGGCGCTGCGCATCTTGCCGAAAAGCGGGGTGCTCTGCTGCCGCCGCAGCCTGCCGAGGGAAAGCTGCTGGGCTGGGGGGGCCGAGCCCATCCTCCTGCACCCCTACAGCATGCCTGTACCCCGGTGGGACCCCATTTCTGCAGCTCCCACTGAGCTCTGGGTGCAGGATCAGTGCCTCCCCAAGCCCGAGGCCAGCCCTCCACGAGGCTGGGAAGCCCTGGATGATGCTCCGGCACAAGTCGGGCACCAGCTAAACCCCTCCGGGGCCAGACACCACCACGCTGGACATCTCGGACCCAGCTGAGAGAGCAGAGCAGGGAGCAGTCATCCCCGTAAAATGGGAATCCCCTTCAAAAAAAAAAACCAAGAGTCCCCATTCCCGGGAGTCTGTGGTGGTTTTAGCCCCTCACTTGCCCTCCTGTGAAAATTCATCAACAAAAATTTATGAAGCAAATTTGAAATCGAAAGGCCCAGGACCCAGTCAGATCCAAACAGTTTGTTGATTTTACTGGAAAGCATGAATTATTTAAGGACAAGCGCATGGGGAGGCTGGGGAGACGGGGGGGAAAGATGAGGCCTCCATTATTCCTCCATGATTTAATGAAGATGTCCCAATAAAATAAAGGAAGATTATAAACACAACCCCCCCCCAGCGCCTCCCGGAGATGCGGCATCGATCTCTCACGGCCATTTCAGCTCTTTACTGCTGGAGAGGCGAAGTGAGGCCAGGGAAAGTTTTTAAGGGCAATAAAACCCACTCCCCTCCTCCTCAAACTGACTTGGGATGCTCAGAGCCTGCCCTTGGCGGTGAAACCCCAAGCATCATGAAACTGGGCTGTACTGGCCTGTGGGCGGCCTTGGGCTGGTTTAATTGGGAGGTGAATGCCATCCAGCCTGCCGTGGGGCGAAGGCTGCTCCGAGGACGGCTGCACACCCTCCACGGGTGTTGGAGGTACTTTGGCCACGCTCAGCCCACGGTTCAACCAGGGAGATGCTGGTCAAGGGATGGCGGCAAGGAGAACGTCATCCCACCCTTGGGTCCTTGCTGGTCCCCACCATGGTCCCCCCCTGCTCCCCCACTCACCGGGACTGCAGATGCTCCAGCTGCACCTGGAAGCTCTCGCTCTGCTCCGTCTGCTCGTCCAGCGACCGCTGCAGCTTCCGCGTCTGGTTGTGGGCCTCATCCAGCTACGGGACGGGACGGGGCTGTCGGCAGCTGTGGAGGGAGCGGAGCTGCCCACCCTCGTCCCCTCCACCAGCGCAAGCTTCCCCACCTCGTCCTCGGCTTGGGCCAGCTCCTTCTTCAGCTCTTCCACCCTCAGGCGCAGCTTCTTCACCTCGCCCTCGTGCTGCTCCACGCGGCGGTTGGCATGGGCCAGCTCGGCCATCTTCTCTTGGTACTGCTTCTTCAGCTTGGTGTGGATGTGCTTCAGGTCGGCCAGCTCCTGCAGTGGGGCACAGGGAGGGGGGGGCTGAGCAGGTGAGAGCCATCCCCGCCGCCGGGTGCCCCCTGCTCCCTCCCCAGAGACCTCTCCCACCACCCCACCCCGCGACAGAGGAGCTGACGGAGCAAGGATGGGGTCACTACCACCCCCTGGATGAGGGGTGGTGGCAGAGTTTGGGCTTGAGGAGGTCCCGGGGTATGCTGAGCCACTGCTGGAGGGTCAGCGTCACCCGGGGAGGGGGTGGCAGGGGACTGGGTCACCCCTATGGCACCTTGTTCTTCTCAAAGAGCTCGGCCTGGATGGTCTTGAGGTCGGTGTCCAGGGCGCTGGCCGTCTGGCGCCGCTTGCGAGCCAGCACCTCCTCCAGGTCCTCGATCTGTGCCCGCAGCTTCTTGTTCTCCCGCTCCAGGTTGAGCTTCTCCGTCTCCAGCCGCTCCCGCCGGCCCCACTCGGCCGCGTTCTCCGCCTGCAGCCGCTCCATCTGGGACAGGGACATGGGGTGACCCCTCTTGCCGCTCCCTTCGCCCCCCCTGCACTGGGGCTCAGCCTCACCTCTGCGCGCAGCTCGGCCAGCTTCTTGTCCATGCTGGAGCGAGCACCCAGCTCGTCCTCCAGGTCCTCGGAGATGCGCCCCAGCTCATCCTGGTGGATCTCCTTCAGGATGTTGAGCTGTGGGGGGGGACATAGAACCCAAGGTGGGCAGCAAGCATCCACCTTCTGCCACCCGAGCCCTGCCCACCCCCACCCACCCAACCTCTGCGGACAGACCAGCTAGCTCAACAGCACTAATGAAGACCCTTAACGAGCACCCTGGAGTTGGGGAGGTGGCTGTGGGTCACCGTGTCCAACCATCAGGACATGTCACCCACTGGGGGACTGGCCACCCCCGGCGCAGCCCTGGGTCCCAGGCACCTCACTCACCTGCTTCATCACCTCCTGCTTGTTCTTGCTGAGCTCCTCGTACTTGATCTTCCACTGGCTGAGCTCGCCCTCCAGCTTCTCGATGCTCTTGCTGAGCGCCAGCTTGTCCCTGGGCAGAGGCAACACTGGTGACAGCCGGCAGGACCCCATGGGACATCCCCGTCCCGTTGGGGACCAGGCTGGGCTCAGCTAGCACCCCATGAGGATGACGCCCCGAGCACTCACTCCCGCTCTTTGAGCAGCACTTTTTGGCACTCATCCAGCCTCAGCTTCAGGGCGGTGACTTTGGTGGCATCCTCCTCCATGACACTGACGTCCTCCCAGAGCAGGCGGCTCCGTTCCTGGCGGGTGAAGGAGGCCCGGGGGCCCCGCTGCTCCCAGCTCTCGTCCTGCTTGCTCATCAAGATGTTTTCCATCAGCTCCAGATCCTGCGGCGCCGTGGGTGGCCCAGCACAGGGGACAGGGTGAGGGGGCAGCCCTGGCTTCCCACCCCCTACAGCACCCAGCCTTAATCCCATAACCAAGAGCATCCCTCCTGCCAAACCCAGCAGCATGCCTCCCTCCGGTCGCCAGGGACCCCCTGAGGCTGATGGAGAGAGACCTCACCACGCTCTGCTGCAGGCTCCCTGCTTCGCTGGAAATTTGGGATAATACCGATCTATTACACCGACCTCATCGGGACTGCCACGTCCGCTATCTTCTACCAGGTAGGATCGTGTGGTAAATGAGTTGCAGGATTTTTTCTGGGCATAGGACATCCCCAGGGACCAAGCAGCGAGCTCACAGAGGATGCTCAGGTTAGTCTCAGATTTGCCACTCAGCAGCCGTGCCATCAGGTGGACTGAACCGGCCCGGCGCCGCACCCCGAGCAGTGGCTTCTGCATCGTGACAGAGCCAATGGCAGCAGAGAGGGGACGGATGGAGCAGCTGGGAGCATCCCTGGGGTGGCCTTGGTGTCCCCTCCTTCCTCCTTCTCCTCCTCCTCCCTTCAGCACAGACCTCTGCCAGAAGTCTGTACGGACACCCCGGCATTTGAGCCGTCCCCGGGCGATGCCACCGTCCCCGGTGCCAGCACACCGACTAATGTCTCCAAAGGGAACGCCCCGAGAAAGGGACCAGAGCCAGTGCCAAGGCCATCTCGCCACACAGGCAACCCCCCAACACACCGCTCCGAGAGGGGTCTGACCCCCCCCACATTGTTTCAAGAGGGGTCTGTCCCCCCACACTGCCCGCCTTTGCGGAGCAGGGGGTGACCCCACGGGCAGTGGCAGTGTGGGGGCACGTGTGGGGAGATGCCAGGGGGGGAGGAGCCCCCCACAGCACCTTGCCAGCCCTAACCACCCCCCACACACACCCTCACCTTGGCTTTTTGGGGCGCCTCGGCCCCCACATCCCGCACAGGCTCCTGCTCGGGGTCAACCTCTCCTTCCGCCCCGTCGGTGTCGGCAGGGCTGCCGGTGCCGGGCCGGCCGTGGAGCCGTGATGGCGGCGGGCGCTCCTCGGGCCGGTCGCGGTCGCGGTCGCGGCGCAGGCCGGCCAGCTCCTTGGTGAGGGCCTCCAGGCGATGCCGCAGCTGCCGCACCTCCTCGCGCGCCCTGTTGCGCTCGGCCCGCACCTTGCTCCACTTCTCCCGCCAGTTGGCCGTGCAGTCCGACCACCAGCGCATCGTCTTCTCCATCTGGGCCGCCCGCGCCCGCGCCTCCTCCAGCTCCCGCAGCCGCAGCTCCTCCCGCCCTTCCCAGTCCCCTTCCAGCAACGCCGGCGGGGGGCCGGGTGAGGGCGTCCCGCTGGGGGGGGACGGGGAGGGCTCGGGGGCCAGCAGGGCCAGCAGCGAGCCCCCCGGCAGCGGCGGGGAGCCGGCCAGGCGCGAGGCCCCACTTTGGCTCATGGCGGGTCTCCCCTAGGGCATGGCCGTCACCGTCAGGGCAGCCCCTCGGCCCGGGGACCTGCGGGAGACAGGAGGGATCATTTGGGATCGGGGGGGGGGGGGGGGGGCTGCAGGACGCGGCTGGAGGGAAGGGAGGGGGGGCACGGCCCTTGGTTTTGGGGGGGCATCACGCTGAGTGACGAAGTGCCTGGCACAGACGCCGGTCAGGTCGCTGGAAAGGGCTCTGGCGATGTCCCCAGCAATGACCCCAGCGAGGAGCCAGCTGACGGCACCAGCCAGGTCCCCAACAGAGACCCCACCGAGGGCTCTGTCAGAGCCCCCCACCCTGGCGGTGGCCCCAGCAGGGTCCCCAGTAAAGGCCCAGCGATGTCCCTGGTGAGGACCGCAGCCCGCTGCCCAGCCACCGGCACCTCGCCCCAGCTCGGCGCTGCAGCCGGCGCCAGCCCAGCGGAGGCAACGACGTCGACGTGTCACCCCGATGACGCCATCCGCGTGAGGTCATCTGGATGACATCATCTGCAAGCCTCCAAGACCCTGATGCTGTGTGTGTGTGGGGGGGGTCCTGGCTGCACCCCGCCAGTGGGGGTTAAAGCCTGGATCCGGTGCCGGTGAGGCAGGAGCAGCTCCGGAAGAAGAGCCGGAGCTGCCGAACCAGCCTGCGCGGCAGGATGCGTGCCCAGGCGGCCGGACCCGCTCTCCGGTGATGCCGCAGCGAAGGGCCAGCGCTGCCCACCAACCTCCCAGCACAGACCTCGCAGCCCAGCTCGGCCAGGCGGGTAAACCGCCCCGGGAAGCCTTAATGGGAGGCGGCTGCGCGCCCTAATGGGATAAGTACAGAGTCTGGCCGCGGCCAGCCCGCAGCCTCCCGGCAGGTTTTCGGGACGGTGCAGCTCAGAGCCGCTGCCAAAGCCCCGGTCCAGCCGGGCTGTGGGCGCTGGTGCCAGGGCAGCGGGAGCAGTGGGTGATGGCAGCCGCGTGCTTCGCACGGGGGGGGGGAATAATTTCTGATGAGATTTGCTGAAACGGTGAAGTTTTGGTAAAACTCAAGAGGCGAGGCCTGGCCTGCGCGGGCCGCTGCCCTGGGGCAGGGATCCAGGTCCCGGTGGGATCCGGCACCGGCAGACACACACACACCCCCCCCCCGCCCGTCTGGCTGGCTGCTGTGGGTGCAACGCCCACGGGAGCACCGGCACCCATGGGGTTCCCACGGGAGCACGGGCAGCCGCGCAAACACCTGCGGGAGCACCGGCACCCCTGCAGCGCCCACGGGGAGCACGCGTGGAGCAGCGTGCAGCGCCCACGGGGAGCACGCGTGGCCCGCCACCCCCCTCCCCCTCCCTTCACCGCCCGCCGCGGGCTCCCGGCGGGGGCGGACCCGCCCGCCCCACGCGCCTCCCCATTGGCCGGGGGCGCTGCCACTCCGCCGCGGGCGGTGACGCGCCCCGGCCCGCGGGAACCGCCGCATTCCTCCGCGCCCGCCCCGCCCCGCCGGGCCCGGTGCGACCGGTACCGCCCGGCGCGGCTCGGACCGGGGCCCTTCAGCCCGGAACCGCCCGGAACGGCCCGGCCCGGCTCGTCCTGCCGCGGTTGCTCCCCTCCTCCCCCCGCCCAACACCTCCCCCCCCCCCCCCCCCCCACCGCTAAAGTTTCCCGCAAGTTTCCCGTCGCGCCGGTGCCGCGTCCCGCCCGCCCGCCCGCCGCCCCGGCCCGCTCCCTCACCGGTGGCGGCGGCGGAGCGGGCAGCCCGCGCGGGCCGGGGCGCTGCCGGGCGAGTCTCCTCCTCCTCCCCCCCCCCCCCTCCTCCTCCTCCCCCCGCCGCTCCCGCCCCCCGCCCGCGCCGGCGAGGGGCCGGTCCCTCCGCCGCAGCCAAGCCCGTGGGCGCGGGTGCGTGTCCTGCCTCCGTGGGGGGCTTCCACGCCGCTTTTGCCACGTGTGTGTGTGTGTGTGTGTGTGTGTTCGCTACCCGCGCGGGCTTACAAGTGGTTATGCGCGTGGGGGGCTTCGCCCGGGTGTTTGCGCGTGGGAGGCCGCGCACGGCGACGCGCACGCGTGGTTGCACGCGCGGGCGCGTGTTTCGCCCGCGGGGCGGCTCGTTTGCGGGCGGGCGGCTCGCGCGCGAGTGTCTGCGCCCAGGAGCGCGCGCGCGGGGTGGTGCCGGCCCGCGCGCCGCCGGCCCGCTCGCGCGCCCGAAAGTCTTGCGCGCGACAGGCTGCACGGGGTTGCGCGGTTACTCGTGGGCCTTGCGGGCCCGCGCGGCAGCGTGCTCGCCCACGGGTGGTCACACACACGAGCGGGGGGGCACGGAGCGGGGGGGGGGGCTGGCGCGGGTGCGTGCTCGCGCGTGGCACGCTCGCGGGCGTTGGCGCACAGGCGGGCCGGCGCGCGAGTGCGAGGGACGTGGGGCTGCTGCTGCCAGATTTCAGCTCGGCCCCCGCTTCTCTTTGCAGCCTGGGCCTCTTCAGGGTTGGGGCGCTCCCGCAGCTGCCGGCCACGCCGGGGGCCAGAGCCTGACCCTGCACCCCCGGGGCTCTGGCTGCTCCCGCAGGGCTGCCACCCCCCTGCTCCGAATCCGTCGGGCAGAAGCTGGCGTTCGGGTGGGGACCTGGGGGTGTCCCCAGAGGTGGGCGCGTCCTGAGTGGCCGCGCAGCGCTTGCCCCTGCATCCCCACGCAGCCTGGTGCTGGCTCCATCCTGCTCCCAGCCGAGCAGCAAAGCCCCAAAGCGCCATTTCCACACACACACACACACACACACACACACACACCCCCGGTGTTTTTCCCATTGCTGGATGCTCTTCAGCCAAAAAATTGGGAAATACAAACGGCCAAGAGGATTTGTGTCGCATGGGATGTGGAAATGATGCTGTGGGACGCTGACACACTCTTCTCTCCCAGCATTAAGCAGAGCAGGGAAAAATAAGTAAAATTAAAGCAAAACTGCAAATGCCTATGCATGTTCCTTCCAAGCCCAGTATTTTTCTGCTGGAAACAACCCCAAAAAGCTGGAGGCAGGGGATTCTTTGCTCTCCCACGCCCCTATCCCTGCGTTTTGTGCCAGGGAAGCCCAAACAGGCGGCTTTGCTTGCAGCCGGTAAAGCGATTTTGCAGGCGGTTTGGCCAGAGCTGCTGGTGCGTGCAGGCGGGTTGGGGTTTTAACCCACTCCCGGCACTAAAACTGGGATTTGAAAGCCAGTAAAGTTTTTTCCAAGTGTCTTTACTGTTTGCTTGTACGTGAGCATCTCGGTCACACTGGAGAGTTCAAGGATGCGTTGCAGCATCCTGGGATATGTGTTTTTTGCCCTTTCAAAAATCAAACCTCTTTGGCCCAGGGTGTGTCACCTAAGGATGTGGACAGTGACCCATCCTCCTGATACCCTTCTCCCTCAGCTCTGGGTTTCCAGCCTGGCCCAGGGTGCCTGGCTGTGCCCAAAGGGCTCCCGTCTTCAGGTGGAGGCAGACTGTTGCCCCATGCTGTGAACTGAGACCTGGAGACTCATTGCATGTGTGGCTCCAAGTGCTGGACAAGCACCGGGTGGCATTGCTGCCCTGTGGTGGGCGCCGGTGTGGCTGAGTTGTCCCCGCTCCCTGCTCCTCTGCATGTGACCACGTCCCTGCAATTGGATCCAGCAGCCCCTGGAGCAGAAGGTGAAGCCTTTTGGGGCAAATCTAACCATTTTGGGAAAAAAACAAAAAAACAAAAACAAAACAAAAACGGTGACCTTTTTCCCTCTGGATGGGCCAGCTGCCATTGCTGGGGAGCTGTGGCTGGGGGTGGCACAGAGGATGCCAGCTCCATCCCAGCATTATCATCGTACTGTAGTATCATAGAATACCTCAAGCTGGAAGGGACCCATTAGGATCAAGTCCAACTCCCTGCTCCATGCAGGATTAACTCTGACAAAACCATATGATTAAGAGCATCATCCAGATACTCCCTGAATTCTGACAGGCTTGGTGAGGTGGCCACTTCCCTGGGGAGCCTATTCCAGTGACTGGCCACCCTTTTGGTAAAGAACCTTTTCCTAATGTCCATTCTGAACTTTTCCTGATGCAGCTTCATCCCATTTCCTCATGTCACCCCTCAGCCTTCTCTTCTCCAAGTGACCTCAGCTGCCCCTCATAAGTCTTGCCCTTGAGACCCTTCACCATCCTGGCAGCTCTCCTCTGGACACACTCTCACTCAACTTGCCATCAACCCAAACCCCCACATCTCTTTCCGCAGGTCTGCTCTCCAGCCTCTCGTCCCCCAGTTGGTACCTATAACCAGGATTACCCCATCCCAGGTGGAGAATCCAGCATTTGCTCTTGTTAAATTTCATAAGATTGGTGATTGCCCAGGTCTCTAGTCTGCCCAGATCTCTCTATAAGCCCTCTCTACCCTCCAGGGAGTCCACAGCTTCTCCTAGTTTAGTATTGTTGGCAAACGTACTTAATGTACGTTTGAGTCCTGTGTCCAGATCATTTATAAAAACATTAAAGAGCACTGGCTCTAAAATTGAACCCTGGGGAACCCCACTGGTGACTGGCTGCCAGCCTAATGTGACCCCATTGACTATAACTCTTTGAATCTAACCCGTCAGCCAGTGTATGAGGGACTCGTCTATCTGTGTGCTGGTCACTTTATCCAGAAGGATACTGTGAGAGATAGTATCAAAAACCTTGCTAAAATCCAAACCCACCACATCTACTGGCTTCCCTCGGTCAACTAGGTGGGTGACCTTGTCATAAAAGGGAATGGAGTTGGTTAAGCAGGACCTTCCCCCCGTGAACCCATGCTGGCTATGACCAATGACTGCGTTGCTTCTCAAGTGTTTTTCAGTAACTCCCAGAATAACCTTCTGCATAATTTTACCAGGCACTGAAGTGAGACTGATAGGCCTGTAATTACCAGGGTCTTCCTTCTCACCGTTCTTGAAAAGTGGGACAACATTTGCCAGCTTCCAGTCAACTAGGACCTCTCCAGACTCCCAAGACCGTTGAAAAATAATAGAGAGAGGTCGCACGATGCCGTCGGCCAGCACTTTCAGTACCCTGGGATGAATCCCACTGGGCCCTGTAGACTCATGCGCATCCAGATGGAGCAGCAAGCCTCAAACAAGTTCAAGGTCAGCTGGGAGTTTATCAACCCTCCAGTCATGCAGGGTCTTCCAGCACAGGGCTCTGGCAGTTCCAGGGCCCATCGTCGCTGTTGAAGACAGAGGCGAAGAAGCCATTAAACAGCTCCGCTTTGTCTGTGTCCCTATTTGTGAGGTGACCAACCTCATCAAGCAACGGACCAATGCTATCTGCGATTCTCCTTATTCTGTTAATATATTTTTAAAAAAGCTGGTTTGGCTGTCATTCACAGCGCTGGCCAGCTTGAACACTAATCGAGCTTTGGCCGCACAAATTCTCTCCCTACAGCGGCGGAGGGCATCTCCGTAGTCCTCCCACATCGCCTGTCCTTGCTCCCAGCATCCATATCGTTTCCTTTCTCACCTGGCTGCCTGCTCCGTTGGCTTGACTTCCCACACTTACCAAACCATACCACGCTGGTGTTCCACCTGGAGCCCGGCTCCTGCCCGGCTGGTGCCGGTGCTGCTGCAGCAGCTGGCTGGGCTCCTCAGCACGGGAGAGCAGGGGCTGCTGGTGAGCTGGTGGTGGGGAGAAGCTCGTTAGAGGCAGAAGGCTAATTATATCAAATATGCCCGGGGAGCAGGTTGTCTTTGGGCTATGCTGAATTGCAGCCATCTGCCGTGTCCTTGGGGTTTGGAGGGGCTGGGGATGCTCCCCCCTGCACCGGTAAATCACCAGGCTGTGAAAAAGTGTAAGCAAAAGGAAATTGAAAAGCTCTCTTGATTTAATCTGCTCATCTGCATACAAACGCTTCCTTTTCTGCCGCCCCAACCACCGCTCAGGCCGAGCCGACCCCACCGTGGTGCTGCCGATGCCGAGAGCTGCCCTGTGCCCGAGGTAGGAGCAAGGGGGGGGATGTGGGGGGCTGGCGCAGCGCGGGGGGCTCACCAGGGCACCGAGCTGCTGCCCGTGAAGGCAAAACTCACACGAAGTGACACCCCCACCCTGCCATTTCCGGAGGGTGCAGGAACGATGATCTCTTCGGCTTGGAGGTGATGGGGGGGGAGCATTCAGCATTGATGGGTGGCGGGAGAGGTTGGGCCAAGCGCCTGCGTCGGGCGCCCCGGGGATCCGGGGGTTACATCGGTGAGAAGTAAAAGGGTTATTTATTGCAAAATCATCCCAAAGGGGATGCGGTGGCTGTCCTTCGCTGGGGGTCAGAGGGCAGCCTGTGCAGGCAGCTGGGCTGCTGCTCCTGCCCTGGGAGGCTCCGGCTGCCCTGGCCGTTGGCAGCCTCAGCATCTCCAAGCATCAATCCCATCACTGCGTCCACAGTAAGAACCATTTGCCCGTTGGGGTTGCACCCCGGCACCGCTGGACTCATAGCCTCTCTCCCTGGCTGCTCTCAGTGCCAGGGGTGTTACCGCGGCCGGCGTTGCCGTGAGCAGCTCTGGGTGAGGTGTTGCAATGGATGCAAATCTTGTTACCAGTCACCTTCCCCCCCACCCTGCACTGTGGATGCTTCCTCCTCCCCAGCTCGGTGCTGGGCCACTGCCAGCAAGCCCTGGCACCACGGCAGAGCGTGCCGGTGCCCCTTCGTTTGCAGCCAGGGGCTGGGATGGCAGCAAGGTCCAAGTCCCTGTTGGGGGCAGGGAGGCAGAAGCGTTCCCCCCCCCCCCCCAGTTTTACAGCCTTAATGGTAAAGCAGATGCAAAGGGTGGCTTGCACCTTCGTTCCTGTGGCAAACACCTTCCTCCTCGTCCTGCTGCCAGCGTAGCTGCTTGGTGCTTCTGGGCTGGGGCTTTGCTGCCACAGTGGCTTCGGTGGGGCTTGGCTGCTGGGGGTGGGGGGAAGCTGCCAGCACCCCATCTTTGTCCTGCGGCCAGTGTGTGGGAAAGGGCCAAGGTCCCAGGGTGCCTGGGTGGGGGCTCCAGGGAGCTGCCCAGGTCTGGGTGCCTTCTGCAGGAGAGGACCATGGCGATGCCCAGCCCGACGCTCATCATCCTCATCCTCTGCCTCACCGACTGTGTCCTGCAGGATCAAGGTAAGGGACATCTCCCATCCCGGCATTGGGGCCGTTCAGGGCTCCCCGGGCAGGGGAGCGGGGCAGGGTGCTGTATGCTGGGGCTCAGCTCCCAAACTGGCTCCATTAGATCTGGGGAGTGAAGTGGACACCCTGGAGAAGGAGCTGCAGCAGGGCTGTGGCAGCACCCGCCGTGCCAGGGAGAGGTGAGTGCCGGCTCCCACCCCACTGTCCCCCAGATCCCCCAGACCCACGGGGGATGGATCCTGCTGCACCCTGCTCCAAACACCCTCCCTGTGCAGGTTAAACTGGCTGGAGGAGAAGCTGGCCCACCAAGAGAAATACAACTTCACAGGCGACATGATCGAGATCTATGTGTTCAAGTTCATGACTGAGCACTTCAGGGGGTTACACCTCAGCAGCAGGATGGTTGGTTCCCCTGCACTGCCGGAGCTATTCCCAGGGGGATGCCTGTGTCTCCCTGGCTCCCTCAGTCCCTCCACCCCTGGTGGGAGGTGCTGGGGGGATGCTGGGGTGGTTGCCACTTGCCCACACTGAGCTTCCATCATCCTCCAAGGATGCTTTACACCAGCAAAGCCTCCTGAGATGCGGCTCTGCTGGGGTGTGTCGCAGGCAGCTATGGCTGCATGTCCCCAGCACTGTCACTGTGACAAATCTGGGGGCTTCTAAAGCTCTGTGTGTGCGTGTGTGTGTTTCTGCAGTTGAGAGCCAGGACTTCCATCCTGAAGCTCTTCTGATTTTTGATGAGGGAAGCCCTGTCCCCCAGCTTCCCACAGTGGGAAGGGAGAGGGAAACTGTGGCAGAGAGCGTGTGGGGTGACTTCCCTGTCCCGGTGCAAGGCGGGTGCGCGGGGGCACTGCGGCACTTCCCCTGGCTGTGGGGCTGCACTGCCACGGAGGTCCGACTGCTCCGGCCCCAGGTCCCTTCTGGCAGGACAAGGCAGGGTTTGGAGGCAGGGGTGCCTGCCTGCCAGCCAGGACCCCCCGCTTGGGACCTGGGAGCAGAGACCATCCGAGGGAGCCCACCAAGGTGTGGAATCCCACTGGGAAAGCGTCCCGGCGTTGATGTCTTCTGCCACGTGCTCACCCCACGGCAGGGCTGATGGGACAGGCGTGCCCACCCAGGGGTGATGGACCTGCCACCTGCAGCCCCGCTGTGTGCTACGGGCTGGGGGGGCTCTGACATCAAGGTGGGAGCAGCTGCCAAATCTGTGTGTCCACAGGCACAGCGGCAGAGCTGGAGCTGCTGCTGGAGCCGGTGGACGCTGCAGGGCCACGCCGGTAACTGGGGTGGTTTTGCTAGAGGGGGGAGCTGGGGCAGCACCCTGACCCACCCCCCCCCCGAGCCAGCCAAGCACAGGGTGGACAAACCCATCTCTCCCCTGCCCACCGGCGCAGGATGTGAAGCCGGGTGGCAGCAGGAGGCTCGGGCACGCCATGAAATTCCCAGCGGAGCTTGTAGAGAGCGTCCAGGCGCGGGGAGTGGAGCAGAAGCTTGTCTGCATCTACATTGACAGCCCCTGCATTTTCCAGGTGAGCCGCAGGTCCTTGTACGGAGCCCCCCAAGCATCCTCGGCCAACAGCATGCCTGCCCCATCACCTCCCCCCTGCTGAGATGCTTGAGGGTGGGCAGGACGTCCTGGGGACCCAGGACTCTCCCTGCAGGCACCCTGACTCTTGCAGGATGCTCACAACAGCTCTGTGCTGAACAACAATGTGCTGGGAGCCTTCCTGCAGAGCGGACACGTGGCTGGGCTCAGCCAACCCGTGGAGATCCAGTTCTGGCACGACATGGTGCTGGTGAGCAGGACTCCACCATGGGCACAAGCAGGGGGGGTCCCCAACACCAGTGTTTCCCCTGGAGCTGGGGAAAGAGAAAGTGTCCCCTCTTTGCATTGCGACCAGAAGGTTTCTGGGGTCCCCGGCGAGCAGACAGAGTCCCCAGCTCTCCCCCTCTCTCCCCTTCCCACCAGGATGCCTCCAACGCCACCTGTGTCTTCTGGCAGCCCGAAGCTGGTAAGCGTGGCTGTGGCCAGGACGGGGGCAATGCCAGCTCGGTGCCACCCTGAAGGCATTGCCCATCCGCCTCCTGGGCAGCCCTGGTTGGGCTCGACATCCCCTCGATGTCCCCGTCCCCTGGCCACTGGGCCACCCTCCGACAGCGGCTCTCTGGCAGGCGCGGGCAGCACAGGCAGCTGGAGCAGGGCGGGCTGCGAGACCACGCACAGGGCGGGCACCGTTATCTGCCACTGCAACCACCTCACCTACTTCGCCGTCCTGCTGGTCCACAGCCCTCCTTCCCTCTTCTTCCTCCCTTCTTCCTCCTTCCCTCTTCCGCCCCCCTTCTTCCTTCCTTCTTCCTCCTACCCCCATGTTTCTTCCTCCCCTCCTTGCTGCTTCCTCCTCCTTCCTTCTTTCCTCTTTCCCTCTTCCTCCTTCCCTTGTTCCCTCCTTGCCTCTCCCTCCTTTCTCCTTCCTCCTTCTCTATTTCTCTCCTTCCTGCTTCCTTCTTCCCTCCTTCCTCCTTCTCTCCTTCCATCTTTCTCATCTTCCTTTCTCCCGCCCTCCTTTTTGCTTCCTCCTTCCTCCTCCTTCCTTCTTTCCTCCTCCCCTCTCCTCCTTTCTCCTTTCTCCTTCTCTATTTCCCTCCTTCCCACTTCCTTCTTCCCTCTTTCCACCTTTGTCGATCCTCCATCCTCCTTTCTCATTCCCCTCTTCCTCCTTTCTCCTTCCTCCTTTCCCCTTCCCTCCATCTTTTTTCCTCCTCCCTGGAGGTGTGGGTGTAGATGGGTGTGGGGGTACAACATGTATGTATATGGGGCTATGGGGTGTATATGGGGCTATGGGGTGTATGTGGGGCTATGGGGTGTATGTGGGGCTATGGGATGTAGGGTGGGGGGGGTATGGGGGGTTTCCTGCAGGAGAGGGTGGCCAGGGGGATGGTTTTGCAAGCCCCCCCCCCCCGCCAGTTTCCCAGTGGGTGGGTGCTGCTGTGGGACCTGCCCCAGCTCATCCCCTCCCTCCGGCACCGGCAGGTCCCGGCGGGCGCCCTGAGCCCGGCCCAGCTGGCATCACTGACCCACATCAGCACCATCGGCTGCTCCCTCTCGGCTGCTGCCACCCTCTGCACCCTCCTGCTCTGCTGCTTCCCCAGGTAGAGCCGCGCCGTGCCGTGCTGTGTACGCCACGCGGGGCTGTGCCATGCCAGGTCGTGCCACGCCACGCCACGCTTCTCCATGCCGCGCCGCGCCGTGCCATGCAGTGCCGGGCCATCCGGCGGGCACCCACCGGCACCCCCCTGCCCCTCCCGCCCCTTGCAGGAAGCAACTGAGGGACAACACGACCAGGATCCACATGCACCTCCTGGCCGCGCTGCTCCTGCTCAACTGCAGCTTCCTGCTGAGCGAGCCGCTGGCCACCGGCGCCGAGGGGCTCTGCCGGGTCACCGCCGCCCTGCTGCATGCCAGCCTCCTCTGCGCCCTGGCATGGATGGCTGCTGAGGCCTTCCACCTCCTCCTCCTCCTTGTCAAGGTCTACAATGTTTACATCCGGCACTACCTCCTCAAGCTCAGCCTCTTCGCGTGGGGTGAGTGGGCACCCACCCAGCGCGGCTCGCCCGTGCCTGCCCGCAGCGCGGTGGCCCCGGCATGGCCTCACACAGCCTGTCCCCGGGCCCGCAGGTCTGCCCACCCTGGCCGTGGTGGCTGTTTTTGTCTTCAGGAGAGATACATATGGATACCACACCATCAGCACCTCCGAAGGCTACAGCAATGTGACTATGTGAGTGAAGGGGGCTGCCAGCTCCCCGGGCACCCCATGGACCCCAGGCATCCTGGGCGCAGCATGCACCCCAAGCACCCCAGGCACAGCACGCACCCTGAGCACCCCAGGCACCCTGGGCTCTCCAAGCACACCATGCACCTTTGGGCGCATCAGGCACTCTGGACGTGCCGGGCACACTGGGCACCCCACGCAGCCTGGGCATCCCAGTCACCGCTGGCACGTGGGGCTGACCCAGGGCTTGGGCCAGCAGGAGCCGGCCGTAGCTCGGCTGGGTGCTACCTTTTGGTGAGTCTGGCTCTGCCGACTGCCCACCTCCATCTCACCACGTGTAGGGGCAGCTGCCGCCACGCCCAGCTCCTTCTCAGGGGTTCTGGGCCTTGTCCCCAAGAGAGTCCCCTTTGCCAGGTGCTGGCTCACCAGCCCGCCGGCCCATCACGCCACCCTCTGCTATGCCAGCCTCATCCTGCTCTTCAACACATTGGTGCTGGGGAGGGTGGTGATGATACTGCGGAGGATGCAGCGGCAGAAGGGGCAGGCGAGGAAGGACTGGGCGACGGTGCTGGGGCTCACCTGCCTGCTGGGCACCACCTGGGGCCTGGCCTTCTTCAGCTTCGGCGTCTTCCTCATCCCCCAGCTCTACCTCTTCACCATCCTCAACTCCCTGCAAGGTCAATGGGGAACACCAGGGGGTTGGGTAGGGGGTTCTGGGGGGGGATGGGCACCCCCTGGTTTGGGAGCAGCAGGGTCCTTGTCACCTTCTTGCTCCTTGCAGGAGCTTGGTGCACCCACGGCAGTGACCTCGTTGCCACGCGCCCACAGGTCTCTTCATCTGCCTCTGGTATGTCACCGTGCACCGCCGGAGCAAGATGGGCTCTGTCAGCAACACCTCTGGATAACGTACCCCGACACCAGGGTGAGGGGCTGTGAGGGGAGCTCGGGATCTGCTGCCCAGTGGTGCAGCCTGGTGGCATCCCCCAGGCTGGACAGCCAGCACCGTGTATATGCTGTGGGTTTCCAGGCAAGCCAGATTTCTGGGCGACAGGAGCTGCCTGCTGCTGGGGGGGCTGCAGCTCGGGGCCTTGCAGGCGCTGCGCTCTCCTGGGGACCCCCCTGCCGGCTTGCAGCCCCTCACTAGTAACCAGCACTGACTTCTCCTGCTAAAGGTGGACGTTTCTCATTAAAAGCGCCGTTTAACTGCCAGTGTAAGTCTTCCCAAACCGCTGGAGGAGCAGCGCAGCTCTGGCTGGGGTCCCGCAGCCGTCCGCTGCCACCCTGTCGCCCCCAGCCCCGCGGCGGGCAGAGCCAGCCTCCACGCTCTGCCTTGTCATTAGTGAAGGTCCCACTAGATGGCATGAGGATTTCGAAGATGGTCCCAGCTCTGGACTGTGCACAGGGCAGGGCAGCCAGCCGGCGGTTTGGGTTAGCAGTGCTGGTTGGCAGTGCCAGCTGGCGGTGCCGAGGAGCCCGCTGGCAGCCGGGAGGGGACATCTGAGCCCCCCTCGGGGAGCTGCCACCCCACATCTCCCAAGGGACAGGCAGAGGCAGGGGTTCTCTGGCCACATCCCCCCCAACCCCTTTGGTGCCGCACGGCTGTGGGCTGGCAAGCGTGGCTGTAAGGCCGTGGCACACGCAAGCCCCTCCCTGACCCTGGGTTTTCACCCATGACAGCACCCCATCAAAACCACTCCTGATCGCCCCAAAGCCTGTGGGGACAAAGGCCACCCACAGCCCTGGGCTTTGGCTTGCATCGGGCGGACGTGCCAGAGCAGAGAAGAGGGTGGGACGTGAGTAAGTGAACCAATAACTCAGCTTTCCTCCTGCTCTCACTTGGGAAGGCAGACCCTGAGCAGAGTTCCTCAACGCGATCAAACACTTTATCAGGGTTTAAGCAGTCCAGCCCGCAGGAAATAAATAGCAAGGACAAATTGCAGGGACTAAAACCATCAGCTGGAGGCAGTGAGTCAGCCCTGAGCCTCCGGTGCTTCCCCAATACACTGGACTTAACCCAAAACCGCGCTCATGGTTGGTTTTTGCCTTTCCTAGTGCCTGAGATTTTGGACCTGGGCGTCCCGCTCTGCCTGCTGGGATGCAGAGCAGCATCACAGCACCGTGATGCCAGCATGGCTGTGAACCCACCCGTTGGTGACAGCGGGGTCCCCACTGTCTCCGAGCCTGTAGCTCGCAGGGTGTGCCAGCGGGGTACCATTTGCTGGTGCTGCCCGTTTCTGGTCCGGTGGCAGGGGACCAGGCACCACCGGGCAGCCTCACGGGGTGACACGCAGCCCATCTCTGCCTTCCCGTGCCGCTCTGCCAAGCAGCGTTTCCCTTGCTGGCTGCTTCCCAGGGCCTGCTTCTGGGTAGTGAAGGAAGCCGCTGGCTATTGTTCTTTGTGCTGTGCACAAAGGGCAGCCAGCGCCTCAGAGTCTCCATCCCTCCCACCGGTGACCAGGACAAAACCCGTCCCCTTTGGGGCCGTGTACCCCCCGCCGTCCAGCCCGCCGTGCTCCCACCACGCGGCAATGAGCTGTCCACGGCTCACCGCGCTGGCGGCTGCTAAATAAAAAGCCCGGAGAGTTGGTGAAGGGCCAAGCGCCTGCTTGTCCCCCATGAGCCCCGCCGTGGGAGGGTCGCATCCTGGCTGTGGCAGCTCCAGCCCCCCCTCCCCGTTGCTCTGGGGATGTGCTTTCTGCGCCCCTTCTCCTCATCTTGAGGTTGTGGTGTGAGTCACACCGATCGCCGGCGCCTGCGTACGTGCTGACACCGGCACGTGAATATGTCTTGTTCCTGTATCCGCTCGCGCTTGGAAAACAATCTCTCGGCGGTTGCTCCCCGGCAGCGGGAGCACGGCCGGGGCACGGCGGTCCCCGGGGAGCTGAGCCTTTTGGGGACTGGTGGGACACGATGGTCCCTGGGGACCCGAGCCTGTTGCTGGCAACTGGGGGGCAGAAAAGGCACTTTCCCAGCCCCCCACCGTGACCAAGCGGGGCCAAAACACTCCCTGAAGTTTCCTGGGAGTTCAGGGTGGGATCCAACCCCCCAGCACTGCCAGGGCCCGGCAGCGCTGGGGCCAGCTGGGCGCAGTCGTGGGACACGGCGGGCAGGGGAAAGGGGGAGCCGGCCCATCCAGCCTCCCCAAGGAGAAATAATCCTGTTTACTTTCCCCTGCACCTTATCGGGCAGGAGGCCGGTGCCGAGCTCCCGGAGAGGGTTGTGCTGTCCTTTTTTTCCCCAGGAAAGGTGGCTCGGCATTACCGTGGTGCCTTCAGGCCTAAACCAAGGGGCAAAGCTCTGGAATTATTGCAAATCCTCCACATTTTGGGGAAACAACCAGCCAGGGAAGAGACTAAATCCATTTGGGAATGGAAGGTTGGGGTCAGACCTCGACTCCATTTTGGGATCTGCCTTTGGGACTTGGCTGCCGGGGAGCAGACAAGCCTGGTTCCCACGTCCCACGGGAGCATCCTCACCCAGTGCTTGCGCACATACCCCTGGGGACCAGTTTTCCCCCAGACTTCCCTGACATCATCGCGGGTTTATTTGAAAGCTGAGCCTAAACAAATACGTCGGGTTTATTGCTCTTTCTACCGTTGGGTTTTACAGCCCTGGCACCTGGTGAGTCACTGTTATCATTGCTGCCTGACAGAGAAACCCCGGGGGGGGGGGCACCCACCTCCCCATTTGATGTATTTTGGAGAGCGAGGAGGTGGAGCAGCGGCGCCGGGGGCGCGGGAGCACCCACAGCCACTCACGGCAGCTCCCTTGGGATCGCCATCCTCCGAGGTTCCCCAGGCTGCCCCGGCATCGCTCACGGACCTCCAGGCATCCCCTCCCACCAGCACTCGCCTGCTTCATCATCCTCCCCCTCACCCTCCTCCACCCACCGGAGCTAGGCTGAGCCCTGCTCGTGGTTGCACCCCCCCATGGTCTCCCAAAGGGCTTTTAGGGGGGGTCTCAGCCGGTGCCGGGACACCCCTGCCCGTCCCTGCCTCGCCTCGGCCAGCAGCAGCCCGGCGGGACGTGCCGGAGCCCGCCGCAGCCTGCCCACCCCACGGCGGCACCTCCACGCTCCTCCGCCACGCTCCCGCTCGCCCGCCGCCAGCACCGGGGCCTTGAGGAGCTTTTAGGGCTTTTAGGAACTCCTAGGAGCTTTTCAGAAGTTTCAGGGGCTTGGGGTTTTTTGGAGCTTTTAGGGTTTTAAAGAAGTCTTAAGGGTTGGGTTTTTTTTTTTTTTTTTTTTGAGCTTTTAGGGTTTGTAGGAACTTTTAGGGCTTTAGGAAATTTTAGAGCTTTTAGGGCTTTCAGGAGCTTTTAGGGTTTTTAGGAACCATTAGGGACTTTAGGAACTTTTAGGGCTTTTAGGAACTTTAAGCATATTTAGGAGCTTTCAGGGCTTTCCGGAGCTTTTAGGGTTTTTAGGAACTATTAGGGCTTTTAGGAACTTTTAGGGCTTTTAGGAACTTTAAGCATATTTAGGAGCTTTTAGGGCTTTCAGGAGCTTTTATGGTTTTTAGGAACTATTAGGGCTTTTAGGAACTTTTAGGGCTTTTAGGAACTTTAAGCATATTTAGGAGCTTTTAGGGCTTTCAGGAGCTTTTATGGTTTTTAGGAACTATTAGGGCTTTTAGGAACTTTTAGGGCTTTTAGGAACTTTAAGCATATTTAGGAGCTTTTAGGGCTTTCAGGAGCTTTTATGGTTTTTAGGAACTATTAGGGCTTTTAGGAACTTTTAGGGCTTTTAGGAACTTTAAGCATATTTAGGAGCTTTTAGGGCTTTCAGGAGCTTTTAGGGTTTTTAGGAACTATTAGGGCTTTTAGGAACTTTTAGGGCTTTTAGGAACTTTAAGCATATTTAGGAGCTTTTAGGAGATTTTAGGAGCTTTTAGGGTTTTTAGGAACTATTAGGGCTTTTAGGAACTTTAAGCATATTTAGGAGCTTTTAGGAGATTTTAGGAGCTTTTAGGGTTTTTAGGAACTATTAGGGCTTTTAGGAACTTTTAGGACTTTAGGAGATTTTAGGGCTTTAGGATCTTTTAGGATTTTGGGGAACTATTGGGGCTTTAGGAACTTTTAGGGCTTTTAGGAGCTTTTAGGATTTTTAGGAATTTTTAGGGGTTGTAGGAGCTTTGAGGGTTTTGAGGAACTTTCACAGCTCTGAGGAACTTTCAGGGGTTTTAGGAACACTTAGGGGGTTTAGGAGATTTGAGGGTTTTGAGGAACTTTCACAGCTTTGAGGAACTTTTAAGGTTTTCAGGAACTTTTAGGGCTTTGAGGAACTCCCCACCTTGAGCAATAAGCCCTTCGCAGGCTGAGTGAGTGCCGATGGCCTGAGCCCAAGGGCAAATGTCCTTTTCAAGGGACAACAGGATTTCCTCCCTCTCCGCGCTCAGCCAGCCTCTTTGAAGACAGCAGCACGGCCTGCTGACTTACAGATAATCCCGATAACATCAACAAGTGCAGGCGTCGATCTAAAAATAACTCTTGATAACGTCAAGTGTGGACAAAAGGCTCTTTGTTCCATAAACAGCGGCAAAAAGATGGCCTAAAACCGTCTGCTCCTCGCAGGGATGTGGGGTCTCCAGCTGATCCCCCCCCTCCAGGACGGCCCAATCCCACAGGAGATGCCACTGGGTTTAGCAGCGTTATTCCTGGGCGGCAGATTTACGGCATTTCCCGAAGGAGCCGGTTGGGATGACCTGCAGCAGGAGGCTTGGCTCGCTGTGATGCTCGGGCGGCTGCGGCTGCCGTCCGCGTGCATTTCTGAGCCGGCCCCACTTCCCGCGGTGTGCGGATGGTTGGGCTTCAAAGGCGGCCGTGTTAGCCACGGTCCGGCCGCGTGAGCTGCTTCCCGTGGGAGCCTCATCCCGTGGGAGCCGGGAAAATCTGGGGCTTGGAGCTGGAAATGAAATCAAGCTGGGGGGTGATGCGAGCGTGTGGGATGTCCCCCCTCTCTGAGGGTCCCAGTGGCACCGCTGGTGCTGCGACTGCCTTTTATCTCCATCGCCCGCCCTGCTGGAGCGGGAGGTTGTTTCCACCCTTCCCCCAGCAGAAAGAAAAGTCTCATTCAAGCCATTGAAAATATCTGCAAGAGCAACTATTTACCCAGGGCACTTCCCAGAGCCCTCCCCACCCGCCCTCCTCCCGCCAGCTCCCGGCAGCCCCGGCTTTCTCCTGCTCGGCTGCTTTTCAGGGCGCACAAAGGGCTGGCCCGGCTGGCCGGGCACTGCTTGGCAGCGCCTTTGTCTGCTCCTGCAGAGCCCATCGCTGCCACGACGCTTCCAGACTCAGCTCCCTTCGCTGCCGCGGGGTCCTGAGCCCAAGGGGCAGGGTGCCCATCTCCTGCTCTGGGATAGATGGTGGGAGCCACATGCCCTGGGCTTGGGGGGGGGGGATGGAGGGGAGGGGGGGGGTCGCATCCAGGCTCTGCACCCCACTCCCCAGCCCATCTCCTCCAGGGATGTGCCGTGGGGGGGCATGGGGACCCCCTCACCCTGATGTGGGGCCTGGGCTCCTTGCTCTGCTTCTCATCTCGCTCGTTTCCTGCAGGGAGCGGGACAGGGTTCACAGGGACGCTCCCTCCCGGCTGGTTTCCCATTAATTGTTATTTTTTAATCCCATTTGCAGCCAGGCGTGCAGCCGCCCAGCTCGCTCCTCCGCTGGATGCCCGCCAGCCTGGAGCTGAAGGGCGGCGGGATGGGGCACTCCCGCCTCCCGGTTCTCCCCGGCCCATCCCGGTATCAAGCCCGGTGCCGGTGCCGGTGCCGGTGCCGGTGCCGGTGCCGGTGCCGGCCGGGCGGGGTGATGCAGCCTGGTGCTCCCATCCCGGTGCTCCCAAGCAGAGCCGGGCCGGGCCGAGCCGGGCAGGTGCTGGGCCCGAGGGGCGGTGGCCCCCGCGGCCCCCGCAGCGATCCCGGAGGGTCTCGGAGGTGTCGGTGCGGCGCGACCCGTCCCGGTCCCGCCCCGCTGAGTCACCGCCCGCCCGGGGGGGACGGGGCGGGGCGGGCGCGTCTGTCC